GCCAATGATGGTCAACTGATGGTGCCGTGTGTAGAGCACCAATCAGAAATCACTTTAGAGCAACTCTTAACATCATAAATTGTTTGGGCCATGTTTATATGGATTATGATCTCGTGTTTATCATGTTGGATCTTTCTATATCAAACCTTACTGTGCTATGTCCACCTGCGAGTCTTTTTGGACTCATGATAAGTAATTGGGCCTTGTTGAGCTTGTTGAGCTCATCAACTCCGCTCAGAATTATGGCACAGCGCACTGGGTTGGTTAAACCCAGCATGTGAGGCGTGAAGATAACGCTGTGTGATTTCTGGGGTGGCGCGTCTCTTATCGATGAATGCTTAGGCACACGGAGCTGAGTATCGGCAAAAAAGTTTAAGGGCATTGGTTTGCTTTAGAATATCTGCATCCCCTCTAGCGCTGGTGAATCTTGGCCATCACAAGCTGTACGTGAAATACAAAATAATAGTAATAACTCATACATATAAAACATTAAAAAATTTAAAAATGAGTTCGAATATCAACTTTATTTATTATTTATTTTTTCAGAAAAGGTGTTGCAATCAAAACAAAATTACTTAAGTTTAAGAAATTGGACCATTTCCCTAGGACCAAAAAAGAAGTCCCAAACTTGAGTCTGATATTTTGCGGTCGAGGCCGGCGATGACTCATCCTTGGCTTTAAGGACAAGGATCATATCGACTCATGATAAATCGCTGGAGAAATTTCCATTGACAACACTTTGAAAGACCAAATTCTTTTTGGCATTCTTATTGTGTTCCGAAACAGCGAACTCTGCGATGCCTATCACATATGGATCACTGGTGTTCTTCCTCGTTTGCTATATTTTACGATCTCAATCACCTGTAGACTCAAATGAACATTAGTTCTGGGTTTATATAGCCATTGCTTAGCCATGTAGGAAAAGGATGACTTCTCTTTTTTAAGAGAGGATAAGGACTACTTCTCTAGAAAATAAACAGAGAAGGAAAATTCTAGAGTCCATGACCTCAATAAATTTGTAACGGTTTGGGAATTTAATTATTTTCTACCTTTGAGAGGATATTGACGACTTCTTGAAAAGTTAAGCAGAGAAGGAAATGTTGAAAACAGAAACTTAGCAAGTAAGAAATCAGAGATTTTAGAGAGGGAGTGAGAAATGTAGAGAGAGAAAGAGAATTGTGTAAAATGTATTTCTATTGTATTAATTGTGTCCTGTGTACATTGACTATTTATACATAAATACCAAAGGTAACTTAGCTGACTCAGCAATCCCTAACTAACACATATACCAAATATCTAATCTGGTGGTTTACACCCTTTACAGTTTTATGAACCTTAACCTTCAGTACTCCTAACACCCCCTCTCAAGCTAAAGGGAGATGAGCGAACTGAAAGCTTGTCAGTTAAGGAAGCAAAACGATCAGCAAGAAGAGACTTGGTGAAAATATTAGCAAGTTGTAACAATGTACTAACATGGTGAACACCAATCTGTCCCAAAAGAACCTTCTCACGAATGAAATGATAGTCAATCTCAACATGCTTTGTTCGAGCATGAAAGACTGGATTAAAAGCTAGAGCAATAGCACTCTTATTATCACAGAAGATGATAGGTGTACGGAGAAGTGGGAATGAAATATCAGAAAGAATCTTAGTGATCCACGAAATTTCGGCAACAGTGTTTGCAAGAGACCGGTACTCAGCCTCAGTGGATGATCGAGCCACTGTGAGTTGTTTCTTAGCATTCCAAGTAATCAAGTTTGGTCCCAAAAATACACAATAGCCACCTGTAGATCGTCGATCAACAGGACAACCAGCCCAATCAGCATCGGACCAAGCGGTGAGATGTTGAGAACCTTTGGTAAACCATAGACCTGAGTCAAGAGTGCCTTTGAGATATCTCAAGATACGCTTAACAGCTTGCAAATGAATTGTTCGTGGAGTCTGCATGTGTTGGCACACTTGATTCACTGCAAAAGCAAGAATAGGCTGAGCCCAGGTAAGATACTGCAATGCACCAACAATGGACCTGTATGAAGTAGGGTCTGGAAGAGGTGTACCAGAGTGATCTAGTTTAGAAGAGCTGACTGGAGTGTTGCAGGGTTTGACTCCTAACATATCAGTTTTCTTAAGAAGATCCAAAGCATACTTGGACTGATGTAGAAATAGACCTTTCGAAGAGCATTACACTTCAATTCCCAGAAAATAATGAATATCACCAAGATCTTTCACAGGAAAAAGAGCTTGCAGCTGAGAAATAATAGTTTGGCAGACTTGAGAAGAGCTGCCAGTGATGATTATATCATCAACATACACCAAAATGAAAGTAATAGTGGTGTCTTTCTTGATAAACAGACTGGTATCAGATGAGGATGAACAGAATCCCACGGATAGAAGAGCCCGATAAAAGGCATCATACCAGGCTCTAGGGCCCTGTTTAAGACTATGTAGAGATTTCTTAAGTTTGCAAACATGAGTAGGCTTGGAAGAATCAACAAAACCAGGGGGCTGCACCATATAGACATCCTCCTTTAAATGACCATGTAGAAATGCATTGCTCACATCTAGTTGATGAATAAACCAATCATAATGCACCGCAATGCAAAGCAAAATCCGAATGGTTGGTGGTTTAGCCATAGGACTAAACGTTTCTGAGAAGTCCAATCCCTCTTGTTGATGAAATCCCTTAGCAACTAGACGGGCGTTATACCTTTCTATAGACCCATCTGCCTTGTGTTTCACTTTGAAAACCCATTTACAACCAACAAGGTTGTAAGACGGATGATAAGGTACCAAACCCTATGTACCGGTGGAGTGAAGAGCTTGAAACTCAGCTTGCATTGCTGTCATCCAAGGAGCATGTTTAGAAGCTTGAAGATAAGTGGTTGGTGCTGATGGTATTTTGGTGAGAGGATCAATTGAAGATGGAAGAGGGTGCTTTGTGGCAGTGAAAAGTTTTGGCTTATGAATACCAGATTTAGCCCTAGTGATCATAGGATGAGAGTTGATAGGTGCTGCAATATGGTGATTTGAATTTGGTTCTGCAATATTGGAAACAGAGACATGGGGGGAAGAGATAGATGTGGAGGAAAGTGAGGTTGAAAGATCCATTGGGAGGGCAGAAGAGTCGAGAGAACTGGCAGAGATATGAGCTTGGAAATCTGCAATTTGAGAAGAAGATGGCACATGAATAGTGACAGGGACTAGGTGAGTGGCAGCAATGGACTGAAAGGGTGCAGAAGATGAAGAAACTGAGAATATGTGTTGAAGATATGGAAAAATACTCTCATCAAACACAACATGCCGTGAGATATAGAGCTTCCCAGTTACTGGATCATAACACCTATAACCACTGTGATTCAAACTATAGCCCAGAAAGATGCATTGCTTACTTTTGGGATCTAATTTATGACTGGAATAAGGTTTCAGCCAGGGATAGCATGCACAACCAAAAGACTTCAATGTATGATACTTTGGTGGAGCTTGAAATAATAGTTCCCATGGACTCGAAGAGGAATTCTGTGAAGGCAACCTATTAATGAGATACACAGATGTTTGAAAAGCTTCAACCCAAAATTCGGATGGAAGTCCACTCTGAGAAAGTAAAGTCTTGCCCATTTCAACGACATGACGATGTTTTCGCTCAGCACATCCATCCTATTCAGGTGTATGAGGACAGCTCAGTTGATGTGTGATGCCTTGAGCATTGAAGAAATCTTGAAGTGGTTTGTTTAAAAACTCTCCACCTAAATCAGATATGAGGCATTGAACTTTAGTTGCAAACAGTGTTTGAACTTTGAGAATAAAGGTCTGAAGTATTGAAGTAACATCAGATTTAAGAGACAAAGGATATAACCAACTATATTTTGTGAAATCATCCACTAGTATTAAGTAATATTTGTAACCAGTACAAGAGGAGGTAGGAGAAGGTCCCTAGACATCTGCATGAATTAAATGGAATGGTTTAACCGAGCTACACGGTAATACAGAAAATGAAAGCTTAGAAGCTTTGCCCATTTAACAAGCCACACAGACTTGCAATTTATTTACTGAACCAAGTATAGGTAAATGGTTATTGCGTAAAATAGAATGTAAGACTGCACTAGAAGGATGTCCAAGCCTTCTATGCCAGAGATGAATATCAGCCTTGGCAACCATCAAAGCACGAGGAGATACTATGATGCCAGAAGAGCCATTGGAAGCTGTCCAGTAGAAAGGATAAAGACCACCTTCACTGGGGCCCTGGAAGAGCATCTTCCCAGTTCTTAGATCCTTAATATAGAATCCAAAAGGATCAAACGTCAGAAAGCACCAGTTATCATGGACAAACTTGTACACAGATAACAGATTATGAGATGCTTGAGGTACTAGTAAAACATCATTAAGACGAAAAGCAGCAGTATGTGTGTGTAAAAAGGTATGACCAATATGAGATATACACAAACCTTTACCATCTCCCACAAATAGTTGTTCATTGCCAGTGTATGGAACGGCAGAGTTGAAAAAGGAAGGATCTGGAGTAACATGATGAGAGGCACCACTATCTGTGATCTAGTAATTAAGTGTAGGAGTGGTGGTTGCAGACATAGCCATAGGTGAATAACCAGAAAATCGAGGTGGACCAGAACCTTGATGGTGAGTAGAAGTCATTGAGGAAGCAAATTGAGAGAGACGACCACAATGAAGAGCTTGATGACCATGCTGATTGCAGAGCTGACATGGAGTAGATTTACCAGAGAAGAAGGATGTTTGACCAGATTGAAATGTACTAGATCTAGATGGACCAGCACCAAGAATACCACCTGTTTGGTTAGTAGAGTGATTACCTCCAAAATTGCGATTACCCCCAAAATTACGATTTCGATTTTGATTGTTGCGACCCCGATAATTCCCTCGGAATCCAGATGGAGAACCAAAACTAGGAGAAGATTGAGCAGCATAGGCATGAAATGGAGCAGATGTATTGGACGCAGAAGATAAAGTTTTACGCTTTTGTAAAGAAATTTCTTTGCTCAACAATAACCCATGCAATTCATCAAAAGTAACAGACTCATTTCTTGTTTCAATAGAATCAACAAAGGATTCGTAATCATCAGGAAGACCAGACAGAATATAAGCTACCAAATCAGACTCAGAGATCGGTTCACCCGTAGCAGCCAATTTATCAGAAATATCTTTAATGGAATTGAGATAGTCAGTCATTGAAGAGTCACCTTTTTGGATTGTCTGAATCTTGGCTCGGAGGCTATGAATATGTGTGCGAGATGTTCCAGCAAAAAGTTTCTCCAGAGAAAGACAGAGAGAGCGGGAATCGTCCATTCCAATAGTGAGAGGAAGAAGATCTTCAGAGAGAGTCCAATTGATCCAAATCATCAAGATCTGATCTCGCTCACACCAAATTTCATGTGCTAAATTAGGGACATAAAGTCCAGCAGAATCACAAAGGAATTGAGGAGGACATATGTCGGTGCCATCGATAAGCCCTAAAAGCTTGAATCGCTTAAGAACTGGAAGAAATAAGCTGCCCTAGGTGATGAAGTTGTGACGATTCAACTTCGTCGGAACCATATTGGCTGTGGATGCAAATTTCTTCTTCCTTGATCTTGGACAAATTTGCACCTACAAAATAAATAACACCTTTGGTTATGGCCACAAGCCTCACGCGCCCACGATGAATGGGGGGGGGGGGCTTTGGCCGAAGAACCTCCGATGCCAAAGTTAGAATTTAGAGAGAAATAGTGTTTAGAGAATTTTGGGATTTTTGCAAGAGTGTTGGAATTGGTTTTTTGGTGAGAATGAGAGTATATTTATTGGGATAGGGGTGGCTAGGGTTTTTTGGGTTTAATTTAGGTTTAATTAGGAGTTACCAAATAATTAAAAAGGGAAAATGGTGGAAAAGGTAGAGAATATGATAGGCTCTTTTTGGATGGGAATGGCCGGCCCTTGGTGTGATTTTTGGGGTATAATGGGTGATTAAATTAGCCTTTAATATATTGATTATATTAATTGGTTGAGGATGTTATGGAATGTTTGAAATAAATGGCTAATTGAATAAGGAAAAAATGAGGTAAAAACATATATGGAATGAAATAGGTTTTGAATTGTTACCCATTTTGGGTACTCCTGACTTGGTTGATGGATAATTCTCCACTGCTCGCGTGTAGGAAACTCGGTATGCCTTGAGGGTATTTTTGTCCTCTTTTGTCCAAAAGTCCACGTGTCGCCTAGTGAATATTTTTGGCTCCACAAATGCCCCCACACCTGTTGGGATGCTCGCAGAAAAGGGCAGCAGGTGTAGAGATCTTCTTGCTTTAGGAAACTTAAGACTGCTTCTTATTTTGATATTGATTCTCTCTTTAATAGGAAATTAGATCCTTCTAGGAAAAGGAAATAAATTTCTCTCAAAGCCTATTTAAGTCCACCTTAAGTGGGTTATTAAATCAACTTTGGAGAGCGATTTATTCTACCCTACAAGAGAGAGATAGCTTAGAGGATATTTGTTCCCCCTCCTCTAGCAATCTTCTACATCTTGCCCGTACAAATGACCGTCTTTCGTTACTTTCTTCGTCTTCTTCGTGCCGCACCAATGTAAGAAAAATTTAATTTTTCTTGCCTTATTCTTGGATAGTGCTATTGCGGGGTAGCCGTCGGGGTGGTGCGGCAAGTCGGCTGGCAGGGGCCAGGAGCTGGCTCGGCATGGGTTGAGGATATGTCGTGGCAGGGACCACTGCTTGGGTAGCTTGGCTTGGCTTGAGCCAAGGGCAGCTTGTGCAGCTGGGGTCGAGGATTGTGGCGCTGGGGCGCAGTGCTAGGCGAGTCGCATGGCTCATGTCCTTTGGGCTCTTGGACCTGACTCAGGCCAGGCTGGCGATTGAGAGAAATAAGGAGATTGCGGGTCTCATGGGCTGCTGGAATGTTGGGCATGCATGCCTCCTGCCTGCTGGAATGCTGGGTTGAGCTCCCCTGCTGATTACCATGAATGTCGTTGGCTGCTTAGTCCTCTTTGCTGAAAGAAAGGTGGGCTGCTCCAGAAAGAGGAGGTAAAGAGGATCAAGGCGGATGCATTGGCTCGTCCGATCGCTGTCGTGGAGCTTACTATGAATGAAGATGGAAAGAAGAGATCTTCCCCGCCTACTCATGAGATGCCGGTTAAGAAAAAATTGAAGACTTCTTCTGCTACTCATGAGGGTCCGCTTGCTACCGAGAGGTATGTGATTGACATGATTTCTTCCAATGGGAAGAAAAATAAGGCTACTAGATCTGAGCATGTGGCGTCTTCCATGTTGAGAATGGCTAGTACAATTGTGGATAAGATTGCTCAGCGTAAAGGTTTTATCATGCCCCCAGTGCCGAAGTCTGTACCAGGACGTTCTTTGGGAGCCAAGTTCGGTTCACCTTTGTAGAGACTTGCTATTATGAAGAGTGGTAAGGTGGACTCTGCTGCTAAAGTGGCGCCAAAGCCTGCTCCCTTTGCTGCTGAGATTGATTCGCCTCAGATTCAAGATCTTAAGCTTGCAATTTATGAGCTTCGTTTTGCTGCTTATGCTAAGAAGGGAGTGGATGAGCTTCTCTATTTCTCCGGAAGACTTGCTTGCTTTTACTTTTAAGGCTTCCATTGGTGAAGTAGTTGGAGAAGTTAGTGCCCAGACTGGGGCAGCCGGGGGTGAAGCGCCGGATGATGCCGCTGCTAAGAGCGTTACGGCTGTTGAAGGTGTGGCGACCGAGTAGTCGTGGGATGTCCAAGCTACTGTAGTGTAGTATTTTAGGTAGCCTTTAGGATTTTCTTTGTTTTTCCTTGTAGCTCTTGTTTTGCTTGAACTCCTTTGGCCTTTGCTAGTTGTTTATAAACATGTTTTCCTTCGTTTTTCTTCATCTTCACTTCTTTTGTTCAGCCCTAACCTTTAGACTTGATAGACCAGTGGCAGGCATGCTACTTTTTATAAGCAGACAAGCTCGCGTAGCTTATGCAGCCGTAGGTGTTGGTGTAGAACTTTGCAAAGTTGTTAGCCATAGGGTTGGTAGCCGGATGCCTTACTTACAGAAGCAGACAAGTCCGCGTAACCACTAGGCTGTTAACCTTGACTTTCTTCAATTCCGTAGGTTGCGTAGCAAGTATCACAACACTTTAGGACTTGGTGTAGGTTGTTCCGCGCTTTGCAAAGGTGAAGCTTATCGACTACGTAGCATGTCGGCAGTGGATAAAACTTTGTATATGCGCGCTAGTTTGTTTAACCTTTCACAAGAATGTGCGGTTGCATAAGTCTAGCGCGGCTTTACTGCTCGAAGGGCAAGCCGTAGGCAGTCTTCCAGAATCCGTAGGCTACCTTAGTGCACTCGGTAGCAGCTTTAGGATTCCAGGGCAGCCGTCCATCGGATGTACTGCGTAATGTGCCCTCTCCGTCTCTAGGGCCCGGTTCCCCACGGATTAGGCCAAGAGACCCAAAATCCTTCAGTTAGCTAAGCCTTGAAAAAGACCATTGCGGCTACTTCTAGGAATCCCGGCGCAAGCCATCGTGCATCTAGTTATACTAGGGCAGCCAGGCTCATCCACGTCTGGATATTCGGAGTGTAAAGTTTATCCTCCCGTCTTGGAGAGCTGACCCATATGGGTGTCGGAGAATTGGTTTACCCTCTCGCACTGGAGAGCATGGTTGGTCCCTTCGGGGGGCGCAATTCCTGCGATAGGTCCCTAAGAAGGGCGCAGTCTTCTTTTGAAGTGCTAGGGTGATCAGTTGTTGTAAGCATGCAACCGAGCCAAGTTTTGATTACTTCTGAATTCCTCATTGAAAAATGAGTGAAACGAACGAGAACTTAGCTGTAAGGTAGGAACTGCATAACAACTGGATAGTCCTCGACTTGTGAGGTGGTACCCGTCGAGCTTCTTGAGTCTTCGAGCTTTGATGTAGTGGGAGGTCACACATGGTACTTCTTCAGATTGTAGGCCATCCATTGCTTTTCAATCTTTTTGTCGCTTCATGGTGGCGAGGGTGTAATTACTCTTGCCCCCTACTCTGCTGATCTTGTACGGACCTTCCCAGATGGGATCCATCTTTTTGGAGCCTTCTCTGCCGGCAGTGATGAAGGCTTTTCTGCGCCGTCGACATGCAAATGCCAGAAGTCTCCATCGGGTGGAGTAGGCGCAGCTAGAGTGTGCTCGGCTACTTCTGAGGCATCGTTAGGCCGCTCTGTTGCGTCACCTAGGCTCGGTGTGAAGGCGCAGTAGGGAGCTGTGGAGATGGGGCCATGTCATACGCAGCAGGAGATGGTACTCAATTGCCAGTACATGTTGTTCCTATGTAGAATCTTTTAGGGTGACGAGGACAAAACTTGCTTTCGAGTGTGTCCTTCCAGTGTTGCGTTCGTAAAAAAACTTTACATCCGCCAGGGTCTACGCCTTTATCGTCGCGCGTCTGGTTTGGGCAGAATAGTACGTCATGAGGATGATTGCATGCGTTTGAAAGTAAAACTTGTGCTCCTGGGTTGCAACAACTATCGCCAAAGTTAGCTTTTGAATTTTTTAATAACATCGATGAGAGCTTTTGAACTGTAGAATACAGGTAACTGTGGAATACAGGTAGTCGGGCCCCCATCTCTTCTCGCATGATGGTAGAGCTTATTGCTATTTTAGATACCGTCAAACATGCGAATAAGTCCTCCGCTGCTTCTAGGGAGGTGATGTCGGGTACTTCTTCAAGTCCTTGAATGTGCATTGGCGAGCCTCATCCCAAAGTGCATGCTTATCTGCTAAAGCAAAAGAATCTGCCAGAGTTAGATCTTCTTTCATGATCAATTTTTCGAATAGCGGGTGGTCTGTTGGAAGTCCTTTTTGGAAGGCTGCTCTAGCTATCGAGTCGTTGCATCCGACTATTTTTGCCTTTTCTACTTTGAACCTCCTCACATAGTCGCGAAGCGACTCCTTTGGGTTCTTCTTGACGTTGAACAAATGGTCAGACTTCTTTTTGATCGAGCGATAGGATGAATATTCTTTGGTGAAAACCAAAGAAAGTTCGTAGAAATTCCGGATGGATTGTGACGGCAGGGTGTAGAACCAATCTTGCGCCTCGCCTTGTAGAGTGGTGGCAAATATCTTGCACATGAGATCATCGTTGTTTCGATAAAGGATCATTGCACTTTGGTAACGT